AGAGGGAAGGCTATTTAATGGGGCCTTGTGTTATTGGAACTTGCCATCTAACATTCCTTGCTTTCCCCAGTGTGCTCTCCCCCTTCCAGGGTGGAATGCAGTAATTGCCATACCAGAAAGAAGCCATGATCTGTCTGTCTAGTCTGGCATCCTTTCTCCAAGAGAGGCAAACACCAGATGCTTGAGGGAAAGGTACAAGAACTCCTAAACCAAACAACTATGGAGTAACTTGCCCATGGAGGAAGTTAGCGGTTGGCGTATGCCCTAAGGCGAAAGTTTCTGGCCTTCACATAAGTGTTCTGTGTAGCTGGGTATTCTCTATCATATACAGCATACTTGAATTTAAACTATTCTTGCTAGCTGTTTGCCTGCTGAACTGGGGACCAAGGAACTCCACCACTGTGCACTGTATTAGAGTGGTCCCCAGTCTTAGATCTTTTGCAGGGGCAGGGATAACAAGATGTGATACTGCTCCATAGTGTGTTGCTGGTATGTTTGCCTGTGGACAATCAGTCACTCTGGGCAGCTGTCATTCACATTTCCTGCTTATTTTATTTGCTGGTTTTGACTGTCTGTTGGCTTTTCTTGGTTGCCTGTTGTAAGAGCCGCTCCTGTGTCTTGTGCTAAAGGCATAAACCGTGTTTGCCTGTGTGCTTTTTCTGTGGGACTGCATTTTGCATACCTCTGTCCTCCACTCTTAGTCCCTTCTATCTCTACCTGTACAGAAGTCTGTGCTGTACACGGCTTCATGCTGTATCGCATGTCTTCCCTGTGGTTTAGGCCTGATGAATATATGAGATGTTCCTGGTCTTTCAGTAGCTCTTCCCTGTTCCTTCTGCACACAAGAGCAGGCGGGCTGGCTCCACTGGTGCTCAATCAGGGCCACCAGTAAGGGACCACTGAACATCTTATTGCGAGGCAAGATAACAACTACTATGTAGTTCCCTCCCTCCTGGTGTTCTCTGTTGGCTAAATCTTTCATCACAAGTTGCACATATGAACAGCATGTCCTGCTGCATAGGAACACTGCTGGTAACTGATGTGAAATAGCCTCCAGCGACTGAAAGCAAGAGGGGGAGAGGCCTGGCTATAAATGAGAAAGACCTCAAGTGATTGTCTCATTCTCTGGTGCTGATGTAGAAGTCAGTATTATGCAGGACCTGTGTTCACCTCAGGGACGAGGAAGGGGAGAGTGCTCTTTTTTAAATTACGTATTGCTAATTCTTTCCCAACCAGCCAGCCTGGGATTTCCTTACATTCTGAGGCAATGCTTTCATCTGTCTCCTGTTTGACAGTCTTGACTTGCTTGTGAAGTTGGTTTTCCTTCTTGTGGAAGACTTCATTGGAGACAGTGTTGTTTACTTAATGTCAATAAGAAAAATTCTGTAGTCTTTTTTCCCTTCCTCTCTTACTCAGAAAGGGGTGGCATGGAGAGTAGCATGTATCTGTGTGTGCGTGTGTGGGGGTGTGTGTGTGTGTAGATCTTTTATGTTCTGTTTAGGAACCACAGCTACCAGACCCCTCTCACTTCAAGCAGTTGTCAGTCTCCTTTGTTCTAGCTGGCCTTTGGTGGTCTGTGGTTCTGATTTGCCACAGCTTCTCCCAGCAATCACAGATAAACTGAAGCAGAGAGGAGAGGTTAAGTCTCTTTTCCTAAACAGCAGCTAGAAACATCTCATTAGCTGCCATTTCTCCTCTGTGAAATGATTTTTGCTGAGCCCTTTTGATGAAAAAACGTTGTGTACATGCAGCTAGCTGAGTTATGGTGTTGTATGACCCTGGATGAAGCTGTAAGAGGTCTGTACTGCATAGGTAAGCTGGAAACATAACTAGTCACTTACAAACAGCTCTGCAATCTCACATCTAAACCTTGAGATCTATTCTCTCTCTTAGGTGGTCAGATCAGTAGCTCATGGAAACGGTGGAGGCCAAATCTAGATCCAGGTCTGTAAGCAGACTGTTCCACAGATGTGGCTGGGATCTAGTGTCTGTCTTTCCTGTGTGTGAAATAATGCCATGAATGTTTCTTAGGAGCTGTTGGCTTTTCCCATTTTCTATGATATCAATGTCCTTCTTCTTTCTGATTCTTAAACAATACATATGTTCTGGTAGATTGAAACAAAAGGCAAATGCAGAGCCAGAGGCAGATTTTTTAATGCAGCTTGAGATCTGTAGGCATGGATAATTATAAAAAAAATGAATTTATAATTTTATTTATCTTATTTTTAAGGGGGGGGTGGGGGGTGGAAAATGAATGTTCTTTAGCATAGAAGTGGGGAGACTTCATATGCCACATTCGACTCCAGCCCGGCATGTAACTTCATCCTTTGTTCAACCCACTAATCCCTGCATGGGCATTCTTAGAATTAAAATGCTCTTAATTCAATAAAAGATAAACCAAATTAAAGTTCCTTTGACTACTGAATGAATGTGTCTGTACAGAGATATAAAGTGGTTTAGCTAAATTACTTTAAATTCACAACTTTAGTTAATCTGAATTAAGTTTCCCAAGTCCTGCGTGTAAAGACCTCTTTATTTAGAAAGAGCTGCTGTTGTGGAAGGAGCAGTGGACTCAGCCCTGTCCTGAGGCATTCTGGCATGCAGCTAGCTTTTTCAGAGAGAGTTTCTGGCCATTAGCAAATTGTCTACCACATCCTTTTCTTCTCCTCTCAGAACGCCTCTGCGCCACGTCCTAATATTGAGGTTTCTGAGCCATTAGTCTGAGTAACTTGCTCTGTTTTTATTTGCTCTGCAGCTGAGGAAACAATATTTCAGCAACTTGCATCATTTCAGAACAGGGGATGTTAAACCCATCCAAAAATCAGCCATGAACATACCTTTCATTTGAAAGGCCCGTCCAGTGATGTTTACTGCCCAGGCCAGGTACAGAGCAGGAAGCAGAATGTGGGATCTGCAAAGGTTTCTGCAGTAAAACTTGGCTTGTATGCATATAGATGGCAAAACCAAACCATCTTTTAGGGCTGGAACTTGAGCTCAGAGATTCACTCCTGGAAATATGTGCTTTGCTGCTTGGAAATGATCTTGTGATCATGTTATACTTTTCTGATGAAAGTAGAAACTGGTCAAATATACCCATTTAGGACAAACATGGCTTAATGAAACTTGCTGCCTGCCAGATGCAGGGAGTGCTGGATCATGTGAATTTTGACTCTAGTTTCACCCAGTTCAGTTCATTGTTTCCCAGCTCTTGCCTTAGTGGGAAATTGTTGGTAGGACCATTGCATTGTGTCATGGGCTGCTGGTTTTGCTACAAGATCAGCTGGGGGAATCAGCTGGCTTCCTCCAAAATTTTGCAATTGGAATTTCCAGTAGGTTGATCATGGAAATTATGAATATTAGGTAGGAGATAACAGAGCAAAAATTAGCTTATTTCATTCCAACTTTGAGTTTGGAGCACACAGGGGAGGTGTTTTTCTGTGGGTCAGCTGATGAATTAGTGCTCCTTCCACCTGGCAGAGTCATGCCTGACATGCTGAAGTCTCTGGAAGCCCTGAAAGCATCATGCACTGTGCGTGTGTATTATAAATAAACTTTGAAAAACATAATTTAAAATCACCTCTGGCAAAGCACATGCTTAACTGAAACTCGCCTGGTGAAAGTTGACTCAGGGGTGTAGGAAGGAGATGAGGAAAGAGCAAGTGGGAGGAAATAAATGGAACCTGCTGTCAGAAAAAAGCCACTTGTTTGTAATTTTCAGGCTGTCCAAGCCCTTGGCATGTCAGCTTTGGGAGATCCCTAGTGCCTTTCTGGATATTCGCCCTTGGCATGCATGTTTGTGTGTGAACTGAGAATTCAAGTATTAACAAAGCTGCATGAACAGGTTTAGTTAAGCTACTAGAAAAGGATCAGATGTCTTGGAATGAAGGTTGATCCTCCACTTCTACATATCCAAAAAGCTCCTACTGACAGTCTCCAATCAATCAGACAGAATAATTTCAACAAGTCCTCTTAATGAATTTTCATGTGTTCAGCCCACGACTTAGATTGCTGCATGCCTTTATTTCAGATAGACAATACTGATCAGCACAGAACCAGAGGCTGTTCGGGGAGATGAAACTCTCTTAGGGTAAATTCCCCTGACAGTGTCAGTGTAGGTATATAATCTGCACTGCTGCTGTCTCAAAGCAGGGCTGGCCTGCTTGCTTGTTTTTCAGAGCTATATGAAGACATGATGCGTTTTGAGAAGGAAAAGGAAGTCTTCTACAGCAAGGCCTCTTTAGATTGGCCACTAAGGAGTTAAACGCATTGCCTAGTTCTAACAAAGACTGTTCCAAGGAAGGCATGGACTGGAATAAGGTTTTGCTGCACACACATGCTGATGTGCTTTCAGCAAAGATTGCAGGCTTATCAGTAAAGATAAACATGCAAAGGCTTCCAAAACTGTGTGTCCCTGCCACTTGTTTGGGATCGTTTTCCAGAGACCAAGAGAAAACACAAGATCTTCTCCAAGATAGATGCTACTTCCAGGACGGCTGCCAGCAGACTTTGTAAACACAGAGACTATGTATTGCTGTGTGGTTTGGTACAGGTACAGGAGATATTAGTTTACCTAATTCAGAATAGTACTTGAGACCTTGCAGGATCTCTCCACTCAATCATCAGTCTTCTGCAGTGTGTCCAAATGCTGGACAATGCTGGGTTTTGTTGCCCTCACTTAGTTACTTGCCACAGCTAATTTCTGCCTGTGGCTTTCTGCTGCCAGGCAATCTCCAGGCTTTACTACCCATTTGTCTGCCATTTCCCACAAATATTTTGAGTATTATTTTATTTTAAGGCTGGTGATGAGAGGAGGAGAATGGAGTAATTTTTCTTTAAATGAATGGAGTAAAATGTACCAGATCAGCTACAGAATTTCTGGGCACAGAAAAGACCTTCTGAGTTGCCTGCAAAAACAGTCACAATGGTAACATTAGGTATAATTATGGTGTAGCCTTGAAAATAATACATTTTTCTTTATTTCCCTCTCTTCCTCCCTTTATTTCCCTCCCTTCCTGTTTCTGTCATCAAAAACAGCAAAGCAGGAGATGCAGAAATCAAGCACCTGGCTTCTTGAGGTCAAATTCCAAAAGCCTGCAATGAAAAATGCAGAAATCATTCCAGATGGGTGAGGACTGGCACTTTCTTTCTGTCCAGGAAAGTCTGTGCCATTCTGAAATCTCAGCCTGGGTCCCTCTGTTTTGCCACCGAGCCTGATTGACACCTACATGTGTGTGGCCCCTTTTACACAGGGGGCCACAGGGGTGGACTTAAGTTTGAAAATCCGGACATTTTTGGACTGTGACACCAGTTGGTATGGTGTTTCAATCTGTATTCTAGTTTTCTTTTAATTAGATATTATTTTATATGGGAGTGAGGCAACAAGAATCAGCGAGGAGAAGAGTTTATAAAAGCAATTGCAAAGTTTCTCTCAGTGGAATGAGTTTTTGAATGTGAAAAGGGAGACTTGTACCATTTCAGAAATTCTCTTAAACTTGCAGAGTGATAGATAAAGCTAGTTCTGAGAATGTGAAAATGTGGGCTCCATGTGCTAAAGCTATTTGAAAAGAGGTGTGAGTGAAGGGGCTGAGGTTGGTGTGAACGTCAGACTTCCTGCCTTCTGCGCTTTCTGTGTCGCAGCTGTAGCACGTTCATAGTGTGGCACTTCTTTCAAAAGGGACTCTGAACTAACCCAGCCTTTCAGGAAAAGGCTAGCTGCAGCCAGAAATTCAGGCCCACTGCAGGATGACAAGAGGAAGAGCTTTGTTACTAGCTTGTGTTTGATCTTAGCTGCTTTTTTTTTTCTGCTCTCAGTAGCATGCTAATGATACCTGTGGGAGGTGAAAAATGGGTGAATTCCTGCTAGGGTGCGGACAAGTTCGCAGTTTAGTTCTTGTCCTCTTCTTCCCCTCTGGTAAAAATTTTGGGGGCTGTCCCAGATACATAAAAAGGACCTTTTTCATAGAATAATTTCTGTCTTACATCTGCTGAGGACTCTGAATCAGAAAGGCAGTAAGTGGTTGACTCAGTTTGTTTTGTCTCCTCTCCCCCTTTCTTTATTTAAAATTATGAGTATTTATGGGAAATGACTGGCTTGAAAGCCTAGGACAAGTCTGAGCTGCCCATAAGCCGTTCCTTTGCTACAGATCAGTTTTGCCTCATTTATTTTTAAGTTTAAAGCTGAAATGCCAAGTGCATCCTGAATTCTGTTTCAAATGCCAGAGTTGCCAGTTTCACATTGCTTACATGTGATTCTCTACATGTCACCCCACTCTTGCTATCAGAGAATCCAGCTGGGTGGGTAAGCTGCTCTCTGGGTCAGAAGCACAGGGCGATGTTGAAACAGAAGGGTGCCAAACGTCAAGGCAAATATGCCCCAGTTTCTGCTGCTGCCCAGGGAGAGGGTCTGCAGGTCTGTGATAAGGAATGGAAAGAGACCAAAAGGGATGGGTGGGCCCCCAAAGGCTGTGATCTGGATGCCAAAATATCTTGCTCCAGCCTTGCAAGGAGCAGCAAGCACGTGCTTCAGAGGGAGGGCTAGCTGTGGTTCGTGGTTTAGGGAGTTGACACAAATAGGCTCAGGACCCTTTTCTGTGGTCCTGCAAAGCAGTATCCTGTCTGGGCAACCAGGGCCTGTCCTCCTTTGTGTAAACCCTTCTGTCTCAGCAGGTTTGAGGCAGTGCTCAGCAGTAGCAGTCAAGGCTGTCCGTCAGAAAGGCTCCTAGATAAAGAAGTAGGGTTTAGCATCCTACATAGCTTATGTTATGTTAAGACTTAGATGAGGATGGACATATCTGTAATTAAACACTTGGGTTTGGTTTCTGTTTTTAAACACCTGTTTTATGTAAATACTGTGGCAAGCAACCTGTGACAATGATTCTGTGCCCAAGAACCTCATGGGCTTGGCTATTTTTTTCCTTCTTTCAGTAAATGAACCGTGTAACTTTTTTGTGGACAAAAAATACAGACCAGCATGTTGACCTTCATTGCTGATCAAACTTAAGTTGCACCAAGATATAACTGATAGCAGGTCTTACCTGGATTTACTTTCTCACAGCGCACGTAGCTGGTCACATGGAGAAGTGAAGTACTTCAATATATATAGCACAAATGCCTGGATGGAATAAGAGGAAACAAAGTGTGTCAAGAGGGGAGAAAGCACTGCAAATCTTTCAAATTCAATAAGAAAACATTTCCATAGGTCAGATATTTCATTCTGCATGACAGGCTGATGCTGAACCTGATAAAAGTCACCCAGATGGAGAGAGATTGCTAGCTAATACGAAACCACCAGCATGCCTATTGACCTGTACTGTGCTCCTGGTACCTGGCAAAGCACTGGTTACGCTAATCCCCCGGTCTGCTTCCCTTCCAATTGAGAGTTCTTCTACAGGGATGGCCAGAGGGAATCTTAGTGATACTACAAAGAAGCCTGTTTGCTTAAGACAGCATATGTACATCTTTTAACAATCTGGTTGTGTACCTCCTTTGTGGGAGGATCCCTGACCTTATACAGAGAGGGACAAGTGCTAATTAACTTAATTCTGGGAACAGGAGGTGGTATGACCTTTTCCAAAGTGATTCGTTTGGGCTACAGTTTACAGAGAGGTATTTGCTAGGACTGGTGCCTGGGTTTGCTATAAAAACATTATTCATAGTAAGGGGTAAAATTCCCTGGTGTGGCTAGGGGAAGACATTCCCCTCCCATCCCTCTGGTTTGGGTTCATGGTTCCTTGCCTAAAAATTGTTGGCACTGTGGCCACATTTATTTTATTATCAAAACACAGTTATGTTTTCTGTCTCATCTTTTAGCACTGAACACAGCAAGCAGATCCAAGTTAATTAGACCATTGTTTTGGCCACAACTCATATGTTGTGAACATTCCATCTTTCATTGGCACCCCAGGAGATTAATTTCTGGGGCTTCTTTTTCCTAGCTGTCAAGATGCTGTCTGTCCTGAGCATCTTCCAGATTCCTCCCTCTTTTGCCAATGAAGTGGTAAGGATTCTTAACGCCATCTCTTTGCTGTATTCCCTCTGTGCAGCTCAGGGACACAATTACAACCACCTCGAGTGTGCCTATGCCATTTGAGTTTTGTTCTTGCTGCCAGCACTAAGCAGTCAGCCCCAGTTGCCCCAGTGTAGACAAAACCAGAGGCAGCTCCAGCACTGCCTTAGCAGCGACTGCAGAGAGCAGAGCTTATGGGGACATGCGTGAGGTGCGCAGGACGGAGGGCCGTCAGTGTGACTGTTGAGGAAATGAAGTGCAGCCCGCATGAAGGAAGCAAGTCACTGAAAATGGCCTGGCTGGCCACGTGTCAGGCTCACAAAGCATCTAGAAAGCCCTGTCCCCTGAGAGGTGGGCAGAAAGCTCGCCACGGGGTCTTACAGCTTGAGAGAGGTAAGAAGGCAGCTGATGAGACTGAATTTTCCTTAGGGGAAGAAAGACCTTTGGTCCCCGCTCCCTGTTGTCTTCTGATGTTTTGGGTTTTTCAAGAAACAATAAAGCAGCTCTTCCTCATTCCCCGGTACCACCCCCAACAACAAAACCCCACAGTTTTACTGGACCCTTAGAGAAACAAATGTAAGCACCTCCTTGGAAAACACTCCAGAGGCCTGCGGCCATCCCGCATTCCAGAGGAGGCTGCAAGCCTGCTCCCCAGCGTGCCTGCCCAGCAGGGCAGCCGGCTCCATGCTGCAATGCCGCCCGGCCCACTGCACCAACGCACCCACCCGGAGCCCGGGCAGGGGCTCGGAGCTCTCCCGAGCCTCTCCTTAGTCGTGTTCTGTGCTGCTCGTGCTCGGGAGGTGACTGCTCAGGAGAGCAGAAGCAGCATCTTTGCCATGTGGCACTTTCTGCCATATTCATTCCAAGGACAGCTCCATGTCTGAAGTGTTGCCAGACTGATCTCTGAACACTGTGAAGCAAACAGCTGCCACGTCCTCATCCTGCTTCTTGTCACGGCATCGCCAGCAGAGCAGGAAGTTTTTCGGTAATGTAACTAGGTAAGGGGTATTTGTTTAGATGAAAATGAAGGTAAAACCCCTATTTCCCAGTTGGTTTGACCCCTATTTACAAAGCTCTAGTAATGCATGTATGTAGAAGAAATATCTACATGAGTGAAAATGTGCTCTGCTAATATTAAAAGGTACACTGTGGAATTTTGCCTAAGGATAAAATGTAATTTTAATTGAAAGCTGCTGTAACTTGATAGGGAATATCCACAACAGTCTTGAGGATCTACTTTAAACTATAGTTAAACACAGAGCCAACTCCCACCACTCTGTCTCTTAGAGCTACATGTCCTCTTTGATCCATCCATGGTGCTTACGATTCCTAAGAGACGGTAGTCAGCTCATTAATATTTATATGATACCTTCCATCTGAAGACGCGTGCTTGGCAATTATTAATTAAAGCAATTCACAAACCCCTAAAATTTAGCTCCATTTCATAGCTTACAAAACAGACCCAGAAAGTTTGTGTGTCCTTGCATGAGACAGAATGCAATCGGGAATGTGGAAGCTTGCCTGCATGGACTCCTATTATGCTGTATTTCTTTTATCTTTCCTTCACCAGTAACTTTTGCAAAGGGAGCACAGGTTTCCTTTGGCAACAAGACGCACTGTGAGCCTAGGCGGTATTGAGAAGGTGAGTGAAGGGAACCTTCTCTTTCACTGTGGTTCTTCACACAGCACTTACTTGCTTTTTAGAAAGCCTCTTTAAAAATACAACCTGGAACAGCTCGTCAGCCCTGCCGAAAAGACCCTGAACAAGCCTTTACTTGAACGTGTTAAACCCTCCCCTAGCAGGCTGTATTTTAGTTCCTGTGTAAGAGCAGGCAAAAGGGATGGTGGGTTATAATCCATGCCAGACGTGGGCTCTCTTCTCTCAGTCCTTCCTGGTGCATATGGAATGAAGGAGCTTGGCTCAGTGTGAGACTGATAACGGGAGGGAGGGCTTGCCGTTCGATTAGCACCATTCACTGTAAACACCTAAGTTGCACAAGGGGCTCAAACTTTGATCTTTTTGTTGTGGAAAAGAAATCTGAGACTGTGAAATCTGCCCTCAGTCACAAACAAGGAGGTGAACATTACTCAAACCCAGCTGTGGAAATGTAAATAGAGTTAAATGTGATCAAAATGGGGGGAAAAAAAAGCACTTCTTTCCTCCCCATCCCCTGCTCCCTGGCATACATAGAGTCCTCTTTTACTAGGGGCTCCTATTCTGACTTGCCTAGCTCTGTTTGTGAGCACAAGCCCCAGTCCCACACCTGAAACGCCCAAATCCAAATGCTCCCCAGTGCTGTCTGGGATAAGGTTTAAGCCACAGGTGCAATTAAGCTTTTAAGTGGTAAGCCTATTTGGTTAGGGGCACACCTAGAGCCTGCAAGAAGCTGAGAGAAAAACGATCAGTCTTTCAAACTGACAGGCGGTTCCTGAAATATTGCTGGAAGGGTTAAGAAGAAGCTACAGCATTCGTAATTCTCCTGGTATTTATTGTAACAACCCTCTAAATAAGTTCTCTGTGGATGCATCTGGCTGCCCTAGTGAGGTGGGACTCAGATTTTAATTACAAATCTGGTAATAGATTATTGAAATGATGGTGTTGCTAAGGCCCTGGGCACACTTTTCCTAGTCCTTTCTTTTTCCCCTTACCCCCTCCTTTCCAGATTTGCCTGAGCAAACACTGGAGCAAAAGGAGAAGTTTCACAAGAGTGTAGGCTGTTAGCCTGTAGTGTCTTTGCCTATTGGCATTTGGAGCTTTGATTAGATTTTTAGAGGAAAAATGTCATGGCAGGTTGTTCAGTGAGAGGCTGGTGAATATTTTAAGATGCAAATGTTCATAAGCATTCAATGAGCGTATGAAAAATGCTGGAGGTGAGACCCGGGCGATTCCTCGACACTCTGATTTCTTTGCAGTGTGTCATAGCTTTGCTTTTATAATCATTAGGACAGCATCAGACCTTTGCTTTGCATAGCCTTGAGTTCTTAGGCAAGGATTTAAAAGTGGAGCATTAAGATGTGTTAGTGAACATGTCCTAATTAGTCTTTACCTTGGCTACCACATGCTCAGAAGCTGTGAGCCTTACCTACACTATGCCTCTAAAACACCTTCAACAATATAGCATTTTATCCTAGTCTAGACAGTCTTAAGGGTTAGGTTGTCTAGTCAACTAATCACTCCTTTTAGTGGGAAAACTGCTTTCCTTTAGGTTTGTTTCTCTGCCTGCTTTTTCCTCCTTTCTCTCTTTTCTTCCCTCTGCATACCTTCCCCGCAGCAACTCCTGTTCCATCTGCTGTAATGTAAGCATTAACTATTTAATTGCTGATTAGGAAAATCTCATCATGTGGGGTTTGGAATGATATGGGAATGGTAATAGAGGAGTGGGAGGCAGAGGAAGGAGATGTGCAAGTTCCCAGTTCTCTATCACAGGCTGAACTGGAGAGCATTAGTCATTCTTGATGCTATGAGGGTGTTTAACATCTCTCCAATCTAATGGGTAGAATAGTTGAATGGGATTTGGATGTAACTGAGTCCTAGTCATCTTTTGCTGCTGAACTTGCTATTTGACCTTGAGGGAGCTAGACCTGGCCTTTCATCCCTTAAGTTGATAGAAGGCAAGTACTGCAGCTAAGTGCTTTGAGATTCTTGAATGCAGAAAAACATATTCATGCAAAGGACTAGTTGCTTTTCCTGTATAATAAAATACTGTAGGCTTTTGGAATTCTTCTTTATGTTTCTGCACTAAGTTACACAGAGTGAGATGAGCAGCTGGAGGAGATCTGCAGTTCTCCAAGCAGTGAAAGCCCTTTTAGCTCCATGTTCCCTAGCAGCCATATGGGGGCTTTTACCCAACCGCCTTATTTCCTTGTGTGATGCGAATTCAGCTGGTGGCCCCCTTCTCTTCCCCTGGCATCAGCTATTCTAAGCATTCTCGCATTATCAGCATTTCAGCTCCTCTTTGCACTTGCAGCACCTAGTTGCCACAGTCATATACAGCCTGTAGTATGATACTTGTAAATATGGAAGACTTCTAGGGCACTGTGGACGATATGGGGAGAGAAGGTGTGCAGATGGACTCTGCAACCCACATAGTCTCTGCCCCAAGAACTTTTCATGGCTACTCGTTATTGGCAGTTTCTCAGTTGGTTTTGCAGTACCCTGACAGCAGAGCTGGAGTGGGAATTGGAGCTTTTCCTTTCTGTCACAAAAGAGAAAGGCCTGAAATATTTTGATAATTGCAGAACTAATGAAATTGCCATTGTAAAAGACAAGAAAATGGTTTTCTTAGCAATTAGGAGGGGAAAGCATTTTAGTCAGACTGAAACTATCTTCTCATTTATATGGGGAGTTTATTGTTAGCAGATGCTTAATTTCCATCAGCAATTAATAGTTGGAAGGCTTACAAATTATTTATGTACATATTTAAAAAACCCTTGTATTTTACTTCAGAGAGTAAGCACTATCTGACCCACTTACTAAAGTAAGTGGGGTCTCCTCAAAGGCCCCACAAAGACCATGACTGGCATTCTTGGTACTTCCAAAGAACAGATGGGGCTATGTGTAGGGGAGCACAGGGGAGAGGGAAAGTGTGTGGGCAGGGAACAGAAATAAAAGATAACCTTTGAGGAAAGGGACAAAAAGTGACAGTATACCTGTGCTGTCTGCCTTCATCACAAACAACTCCCGCCTCACAAAATAACCCAGTTCCATTAGAAAACATCCTTGCGGATCACATGGCAGCTGGCAAAGGCTGCTGCTAGCCCTTCTACCAAAGACAGCTTAGACTCCTGAAACAAAGCAAACTGGGTTGAAATTCTAGGCATTAAAATACTAAAGCAGCTGCCTCCCTGACATCCTGGGTTGGACTCTGATTTCAGTTTCGCTTCTGCTACATCTTAGGTAATGTCATTGGTACGGTGTAACTGAAATGAGAACTTGGGTCTGCTAATCTTTGACATTGGGTCACCCATTGGTAATCCATTTGTTATCTCTGTTACATTTGTGCGAGCACACCCACCCCACTCCCTTTAGACTGCAGTAATTTATTTGGCCTATTTTATGTCTGATGGTCACTTGAAACTGTACCTCTTGCCTGTCAGCAGCTGTAGTTGTTCTGCTAAGTGACTATCTGAAGTGAGACTTCCTTGTGCAAATGTGTATTTTAGACACTGCCACCAGAAATCCAGTGGTTCCTCTCTCTCCCTACCCCTCCTGTCCCCTTCAGCTGTTTAGATATCAGGACACATGGCTTAAATGGACGTATGCTTGGAGTTCGCAAAAATGGCTTGGATGACAGGAGAAATAGGATCACACAATGAGAGTTCAGAACCCAGCCACCAATTGGTACAGCAGGAGTCTGCAACTCCCTTGTGCTCTTCGTTGTCTCGGTATAACATCTAGCACTGTGTGTTTCTCACATCCCCCTCTGAACATGGTAATGCAATTGAAATGAGCAGGCGGAGGAATGTCACCACCTCCCTTTGAGCGGCTGGGCTGTCAGCCTCTGCTCCCTGTGGTACCCCCAAGGGCTGTGGGTATTGGGGTGGAGAATGGCCTGCACACCTTATTGTGCCTTCCTGCTTACGCTGGAGAATCTCCGGCTTATCCTGCCAGTGCAGTGACTGCTTGTGGAGGAGGGGGAGAGGTTGTGTTGCAACCTCTGAGAAAATTAGTTGTCTCTATTTTATCTTTTGCAGCTGCAGCACTTTTTTTCCCCCTCATCACACACAATCTCTCCCCCCCCCCCCCCCAACGTGAGTGGTATGTCTGAACCATATCCTTCAAAACCAGTTTTCTAAGCAGATTAGATGGGGAGCAGAGACAGCTATGCAATCGGGCAAAAATGTGCACTGAAGCCTTCATTTTGTGCGGTGGCCGGAGCAGTAAGTGTCTACCACCTGGCTGGGGTGTTTTTTCTTCATTCTCTCCCTTTCCTGTTATTCTGCAGCGCTGTGGTCTGTTGCTGTTGTAGACTGAAACAAAATGCTCATTCTAGTGCTTAATTATATCAGAAATAGGGAGAGGAAGGAAGTTGTGTTCCTAATACTCATTAACGTGAAATATAAAGCATGCTCCCTGGCTGGCATGCTTCACCATGCAAAGTGACATTTGCTCCCTGTGAGTGTATTGAAGGGTAATCTCGGGATTACCCTTAGGTCCTCTAACACCAATCCTCCCCAGCCGGTCTGGAAAACCAGTGTAGAAGTTTGCTGCTCCTCTGAATTCACTGTACCCTCCTGGACTGCCCCTGCATGTGAATTTGGTCTCTTGCTGCTCCGTATCTTTCAGTGCTCCCCATCAGCCTTGTTGCATGCTAGGAATCTGACAATAAGGGTCTTCACCTGCTTTGAGATATCATGAGAACTCTTAAGCATTGGTATTTGTTTCATGTCTTGTCTCTTATAGGACAACGAGCTGAATTTAGGATTAAGCTCTGCAGACAAGTTTGGAAACCTTACAGCTTGTTCAGTGTGGGTGGAAAAAGGGGCTCCGTTAGTGGGCTGAGTGGCAGACCTGAGGAAAAGAGTTAAGTAAGCTTTGGCTTCCTTCCAGGAGAGGAAATGCAGTGAAGTGTCCCAGGTGCCATTTGTTGCTCCTCTGGAGGAGAGGAAGGAACCGAGAGCAAAGCGATCCAGAAATGCTTCTTAAGTGAGTCTGCAGAAACATGATGGATAAGAGAAAGAGGGAGAAAGAGAACTTGCATGATAAAATGAGAAGTTGGGCAATAAGGTTTGGGGGAAGAAGAGAGAAGGAGAGAAAATAAACCTTTTATTTCCCATATAAGGCATAGAGAAGGAAAGGAAAGAGAAACTAACCCGAAGACTTTTATGTGCTTTATGGGGTAAGGAAGATGCTTTTAGAAGTCCAGACAAATAAAGTTATGTTTGAAATATTGATATAAAACTGTGCTTTAACATGTTGGCACAATGCACTTGATTAGCTTTTGCTGATCCCTTAAGAGTAAAGAATTACTTTAAGAAGAGAAGAAAGCTGCAAACAAAAGGAAGACTCAGTCTTACTGGCATAAAGGGGGTGAGAAAGTGGGTGGAAAGCTGGTTGGATGTGTCAACCACAAAAGTGGTGAGATATGATCACAGAGAATCCAGGGTTTAAAACACAAGGAAATCATGCAGAGATACTTTTCACACTGACTTGTAAATAGTGTCTTTGGGTGTGCAGCACTGCCAAATTTACCCTTGTTACAGGGGCAACTTACAGTAAGTTCCCACCAAAGCCATACGCCATCTGTTTGAATCATTTAAAAGAAAGGTTTGTCTCCTTATTCCCCTTCTATTAGATGTGACAGATTAATGTCTTTGAGGGCAGATCACTGTTAGTCTAAATCTCTCTCTGGTTATGATTCCTTATAACTATAAAACAGTCACAAGGTTATGGGGTTTAAAAAGAGAGGTTTATTGCAGTTTCCAGCACTGGAACTACAGGCTAAGTGTCTCTCCTTTTTCTTTTTTTTTTCTAAAGTAAATCAAACCCATACATGCACTCCACCTTCTCTCAGATATACAGACCTAGGGGTAAGAACACAGAGTCTACAGGAAAACTACTAAAATAATGTTCTGTGAATACACACTAATCCTCACACTGAGTCCTCTACGCTTGAGTAAGAGCTGCTTGTTAAGCATGGGTTGGTGGCATCCCTGACAGTTGGGGCAGAGCTTGGTGCCTTCAGCAGCTCCATCAGTGTTTGTTTCTATGCAGCTACCATAAAAACTGTGTCCATGCCTCAGCTAGAAGCAGGAAGAGATCGACTGTTCAGACATACGTTGCAGAATCTCTAGTTCAATACTTGTCAGGCTCTCCCTACACTAGATGTTATCCTCAGCTGATGAACTCCATCCTACAGTCCCTGGGTCACACTAGGAAGCAGAGGGGTGCTGATGTTGCTGTATTTTAAGTTTCCTGTTAGGGTAAATTTCTGTAAGAGTGAGCTTTGTTCACTGTATTATTTCTGTGACAGTTTGTAAGAGTGCTGCTGTGGTCAGTAGCAGACTGATGTAAGTTTTTTCTTTGAAGAGGCTTTTTCAGGGAAAAACTGAGTTTCTTTAAAATTGAAGATTCCCCCCCCCCCCCCCCCCCCCCCCCAGCAAAGCCCAATTCTAGATTTCTGATCACCTGTAAAATTAATACATAGCTTTTTACCAGAAATATTACATTAACCTGTCTATACTAACTGGGCTTCACCCAGAATTGGTTCAGAATATTGTGCTGGATTCCAGGTAGTCCTTAGCTGTTCAGAGAGCTGTTGTTTGATGTACCCATCCTCTTCTGCTGAACTGCAAGGGCCTTGGTCTTTCCATATGGTGTTACAGCTCTCCTGGAGACTGTGCTGTGCTATGGGACACCTCAGTGTGTGCTATAGGGAGTCTGATCCAGAAGAGAGACCAGGGTTATAAGGCTGCAAGGGTGCAGTTTCTGAGGCAGTGCAAGGTTGTGGGAACAACACAGTTCAAGAGTGTACTGACTCAGAACAAAATTTCTCAGGTCAGGTCACCAAACCAAAATGAACCAACCTTGGTTTCAGTGATGTGAAAATACTCCATTTCAAACGGCACAATATGCACTGGTGTTCGTAAATGAGTGTTGGGGTTGGTTGGTTTTTTTTTTCCTGAACTTCTGAACTTCTGCAGAGAGTCTCTAATCCCAGTTTTTCTCCCCAAATTGGGGTGAGAACAGATGTTGAAGTACTGGAATTTCTTCCTTTCTGGAGAGGAGGCAGCTGATGAGTATGAGCAACCAGTTTTGGGGTTAGGACAGCTGCCTCTGAAGACCTGTACAGTGGAGCTGAGCAGGCGATGGTAGAGCAGATAGGTGATGGAGGCAGGAGGGAAAAGTAGGAGACTGGAATGAGAAGCAGCAATGAGGGCAAGAACAGAGGAGTAAGGGGAGCAGAAGTTTCTGCTTGGCTCCCTGAGCTGTAGGAACTGCCGCATTTTTGTGCTGTGTGCTGTATTTTGTGCTGTTGGCTGTGCCTAGCTCAGCACCTTCTGCTTTGCTCAGTGACCGGCAGACGTGTGAGCTGGTGCTGCACTGAGAGCTCCTGTTAGAGCGAGCTTGGAGCACTTCATGGGGACGGCAAGAGCTGCATGAGGTGGAGCTGGAGGTTCACACCAGCGCACAACCAGTGCTGTGTGGTTTCGCTTCTGCTCACTGAGCAATTGAGTCCTGTGCTAATCTAGCAACTGGTGAATGCAGGACCTTTTGGTCCTCCTTTGAGCATGTCTCAGTTCTCACCTGGCTGCTGAGCAGGGCACTGCAGCCCTTGCAAGCAGAGAATCTCTCTGCCACCAAGTCTTTCTCTGCAAAAACTCTTTCCTGGTGTGACTGGGAAGGGGCAGTAGTGACCTGCAGAGTGTTTATTATGCTGATGCTTTTATTATTTAACAAGTTTCTTAACTTTTTAAAGATACCAAATTGATACATGCCATCCATCAGCAATGCCCTCCAGGAATGAGTAGCTAATTAGAGAGCAGGACTTCTGAAAAGACAAACCCGGGTTATGCACAGAACAGGTTTCTCCAGTATTTATTGCCTATGTTACTGGCCAAGCTTCCTTGTAAGTAATAGTCAAATAATCGGCCTGGGTCCTTTTGTGAATGGCTTGAGCCTGTGTGGTCCTCCTTTGTTAGAGCAGCTCGTGGCTTCTGAAAGCTCCTGCACCCCCTGTTCTGAGCAGCAGAGCCTGGTGGCACCAGCTGCTTCTGCTTGGAACAAACATTTGCATGTGACATTAAAAAAAGGCCAGTTTCAAAATGTATTTGTTTTTCCTTATCCTTTCACTTTTCGGCTCTTCTTAGAAGTCAGGAAATATTTGGAGGATTAATATATTTAGCTTTTGCTACAAGCATCTTTTGAACAAGTAAAGCTTGAAGAGGAAAGAGAAATCTTTCCTTTAGAAATAAAACAGCAGCCAGTGTTTGGAAATATTTTAACAATAGACCATATGGGAGTCCCAAACTATTAAGCTTTATTATTCAGAAGGCGGAAAATGTGGTTTGATATTCAATTGATATACAGCATAAATGAGAGCCGCAAACTCGGCTCCCTTGAGCTGGGATTCAGATGTTCTCTTGAATATAATAACTAACACTTTGGCCTAGTTCCACAGAACGCATCCAGCCTGCTGATCACAAGCCAAGAAAATGTAGGCTTTTTTGTCTGCCTTCCCCTCTCTTCTCCAAAGTACCTTCCTCTCCTGCCAGCATGAGCTTTTGCCCTGAATGTAAATCTCCTGATATTAGATGCATATAGAAGATGAGGAGGATGCTAATAGCATGGAGCAGGAGAGCTGTGTGTGTTCATGTGTGTTTGTTTTTCTTCTGCTTTAATGGTAAGGTTTTCCCTTCGTGATGCGCTATCAGGGGATGACGTTGGTCATCCTAGGTGGGAGGGACTGCTTTGTTCCTGTTCCACTGTTTGTTTCTTGGTGCTGTGGGAGCAGGTGAATGTCTTTTGGGGTTACTGTGAAGTGGTGCCAGAGACAACGTGCGTGTGGAATTTGGAGAGAGAGACTGGAAGTGGTTTCAGTTTCTTTTTTCCTTTGCCTCACTTGACTTGCGTGTATTTATAATTGCCCTTTCCCCTTTCTATCATGTCTCTATGAACTTCCTCTCCAGTGAGGAAAACAGCCCATAAAAGTTGCTTATAAAATCCTACATACATGGACTAAGACTGCCTATATGCAAAGGGAGACTGATAGTTACACAGGTACTGCAATCAAGTAATGGCAGGCTGGATCACCTGCTATTTTTGACACAGGATCCCTGATTCATTCTGTGTACAGGATGGACCAGCTTTGTCAGTGTGAGTGCAGGAGGTGTGGTATGAACAAGGAGTTGCAGGGACAACAGAAATGGTCTTGTGGGTCTGGCAGTTGAATGCTGCCCTGAAATCCTGAGCTCCATGCTGTCTGTGTCAGAGCTCCTCTGAGATGCCAGTATCATCCTTGGAAATGGCTGGACTATGTCCACTGAAACCCTTTGCCCTGAGCCCCCCACCAGAGCCCAACTACCTAGGCACAGACCTCAGGCATGGAAAACCATGCAGATGGTGATGTTTAACAGTCATGTATACCAAACCAAGTCCTCTTCTAACAGTCTAGAAGAAACCTTAAATAGGGTATGTTACCTTGTAACACATGCAACATGAGATGGTTTTGTGTTTTCTGTTGTAGGTATTCAGTATTTCTCTCAGATTTTTGTGCTGCAGGACTTGACAATTGTCTATAAGTAACTCTCCTGGTGTTGTGACACACATCTTCAGCTGGTTGGGTCCTGCCTCTTTTAGCCTCTTAAAATTAGGAAGAACTTTCTTTCTGGTTTGTGATTTCCTCTCAGGAGCCTATGAGACTCTGGCATTTTTCACTAGAAGTGTGATGTGCCCAAGACAGACTTTCACTTTACGTGTAAGTCCAGGAATGCCTGTAATACAGAACACTGTAGAGAATATAAATTATTCATTCTGAATGTGAAGTTCAGTTTTGGCTTCTGTCTTTCCTCCATTTCTGTTTTCAGTTGTTCATGATAGCTGAAATTTTCCATGTTTTTTGTCTCATCCCACACAGAAATTTTTTCCTTTGGGGAAAACTGGAGCAAAATCAATTTTAGTGCAATTTTTCAAGTCTCTTTGACTTGCACCTACATCTGCTTAGTGTGGGGGAGTGGAATTTTATCATAAAACGTTTGATTTATTTAATGTATTCAATAAGCATCCAAGATGTGCCAGGTACTTTCTCAGCCCTTTTTGGATGAGAAATCTTGCAAGCTAAGAACTTAATAAACAAAGAAGCTACAGAACTCAAAGTTTCCCTGCTGTTAAGGTCTCCATATATCTAAGGAATAAACCAAGTTTGAACAGTGCAGATCCAGGACTTGTACAAAAAGTCACATGCAGTACTGATGAGATCTAACATAGGAATAACTGTTCTATACCCATTTTTTGATCCTGTTATTTGGCCACCTTACAACTAACTTGGCTGTGTCTACACCACAGCTCAACTTCCATTGCAACTGTGAGTCTGTTTTTATTGGTGAAGCCATTGCTGTGATTTTATGACTCCGTACTAACAGCTCATCTAAACAGGGTCACTGATTCAGACCAAGGCAAGTTATAAGTCTGAGCAGAAGAGTTATTCCCAATTAACTTCTTCATCCTAACAAAGAGGTGATTTGGAGTAGTTAATAAGGAATAGCTGTTCTAGAATAATCCCTTTTTAAGACAAACCCTTACTCTTTCTATAATTGCATTCTAGGAAGCTATTCTGTACTGAATCAGCATGGGATAGAGTGCCTAGAAGACGTTAAGACCAAGCACAGCTAGTGGTGAGTGAGGCAATATATACTGGGATGCCCTATTGCAACTGTAATGAGTGAGCAGAATAGCAGAACTGGTTCCCTGTGCATCTTTCTAGAAGGCAACAGAAAGTATCCTACCAAAATCACTGTATGGAGGCCCCTATCTCAGCAGGGATGAAGCATGAGCTGCCCTTTACTGTCTGAGCATTAACCTCATGTTACAGACAGATTACATGCTTTAACTTGTAACTGATTGCAAATTGGTTAAATATTGGGGTTTGGAAAGGATCTGTGTGCTTTTTCCAATGTGTATTTACATTATTATGTGGGAGCAATCAATTTATCAAACGCATCTCATTATTCAGTTGTGGAAAAGACAACTGGTTAGAAGAAAACTTGTTTTTAAGGTGGACAGAAAAACAGTTTAGAAGAAATTTGCACACTTTTTTTCTTGAGGAGATCCTACACTAACAAACTAATGAAATGAAGGAAAAAGCCAATAATTTATAATGCTTTGGAAACTCTCCTGCAGCATAAAATTCTGTACTTCACCTTGCAAAGGAGGTTGGACTGGAGTAGAGATGGTGCTCTTGCGCTCTAGTGCATTGTAGTTGTGATCCAGTTACTGTTAATTCATAGTTCTCTAGGTTCTTGGAATTCATCACTTCCCATAAAAGGGAAGGTGGCAGCCTGGAGTGGAGAAGCTCCAACTGCAGCCCTTTGGATGTTAATCCACACTGACTTTCTTAAGCCTCCTACTTAAATCATTATCTTAATGAATCACCATTGCTATCTTCAGTGCTACATAGGAACATGCAAATTTTAAACAGCCTGGGGGAAAGACCTTTTTGTCTGTAAAGGGCTCTGATACTTGCATTTAGATGTTGCCATGATAGGTACCTTGGATACTCTTTTCCACCTAAGACAGATGGATAGATCCTGGGTATAGTGCATCACCGGTGCATGGCTGGTGGGTGGCTCTGGGGCTTGTCCCTGAGAGGAGATGGATGTGATTCTGCTACTGAGTGTAAGCAGCAGCTGGAGCGGTTGAAGCCAGATGCTGTGCAGGTTTGTCATTCCTCTGCCTGCCTGTTGGCTATGCTTTTCTTCAGGTCTGAAATGGCAAGGAGCTGAGGGAGTGAGGATGGGGGACCCCCCCTCAGCTCTGCAGCCGCCATTTCCACTTTGGGGCAAGTTTCTTTCATCTGACTCTTTTCACAGCACAAAGAAATAAGACATGCAAATGTTAATGGATCAGCTAAATTTTCTCCCATGTAAATTTGGCACAGCAGGAAACTAAGCAGCTTGCTACAAAATCTTAAGAACACTTGTTTGAGGAAAAACTGAACATAGTGAAGCCACTGCAGAGTATCTCCAAAATTTTCAGCAGTGTGTTGTGCAAATATGTCCTTGAAGAATCAACTTGGCTTGGCACTGAGCTCTGCCCACTTTCAGCTCTCCCAGATTATCACTTAAATGTTTATTCATAGGTGGTGGGTATGGGGAGAGAGCCATGTATAGCTGTTTCAGACGGCAAATCTTTGTGGTTATTTGCAGTATGCAATGAAAGATTTGATTCCTTTATTCATTAAACCAAGAGCTGAGGGAGCTGGTTTATGCAAATGTCCTAGATGATAAGAAGTACTCCTCTTAAATTGCAGAATAAATTCACCCACTGTCCCCTTTCTGTGCCTTAGAAGAAGAGCCCATTCCCCTATTATGGGTAACTTTTCCTCACCAATAATAGTTCTGCTTCTGGAACAATGGCAACATAAATGCAGAAGATACCAGGTAAACAGAGATCCTCTAATCTCAGGTGGGAAAGGGCCATATTAACAGAACTGAACTTAAATGCATTTACTGCACCAACATTACTAATTGTCAAGTCCTGCTGGGAGAGTTATGCCCACTGGAGGCCAGAACATCTATCTCAGGGAGGGCATCCTTGTTCTTCCCAGCTAAATCTTCTCTGAAACCAGTTGAGCTAGATAGTTTTAGACTAAGAAATGCATTTTCTTGCATGTTTTCACTTAATTACCAGAGAGGGGGAATGTGAGCAAATGGTACGTGCTTTTTGCAACTCATGGCCTGGATGGGTCCGGTGTGTCAGGAGATACTAACTGCTTCCTCACCCCTTGATGTACACCTTCCCAGACCGCAGCAAGTAACCAGTCCTGTGACTGAAACTGTTTTCCTTGCCCGGTGTAGCTGTGACCAGATTGTCACTTTTTTGTAATAGCATTTAAGACACTTCTTGTAAACTGCTTTACAACAGTAACTTTTCTGCTCATTGTGAGCAGACTGTGGTGGATTCTGTATTTGAGCTCTCAGGGGGTTCTGATCCCTCGTTGGATGGCAGTGTTGTATAATACAGGGGGTAAATTAACTGGGGAAGCATGTATTAGGTTCAGCACTTCAAGAACAGTCAGAGTAGGGATTTCAGAAGAAACACCAGAAGTGATTTATGTGTGTGTATAAATACATGGGTGTGTTTGTGTGTGTGTATATATTGTGTGTATACTTCAAAAGAGAAAATTGGGGTGACTAACATTTGAGGCTGAGTGCAAAACTTACAACTTTTTCTCTTTCCAGTCTTAGGAAAGTAATGGTGATGGGTGTCGGCAGGTCTCTGCTGACTTTCTGAATTGCCTGGATGTCAGAGCTCCAGCAAGGAATTTGGTGGAAATTTGTTTTGAGTAAAAGTGATGTTCAATCCCACATTTGTTTCCTTGGAAAACTGAAGGAAAGGGACTCTTCTCCCCAGCACTTAACACGCTCAGTGTTATTTTTGCAGGCACTGTGTGCAAAGTGTTTGGAAAATGAGATCTCCAGAAGGACTGTTTCTTATTTCAGTATGCTGAACTGGCTTACATTATTCACCTAGCTTTTGCATTCTATCTCATGCTTGTAGGTAGTAGTAGAGTTCTGTTGACGTACAAAGGTTACTATTTCTATAGTTTGCTCATTCAAATGTAGAGGTTTCTAACTACAGAAGTACAATGTGTCTGTGCTGTTATTTTCTTACGGTGTCTTGAGCTCCCTTTGTTAACTGTGTGTTTACAGGAGTCTGCTCAGTGTTCTGGTCAGGTGTGCTGAGATGCAGTGTTTCAGCCCGTAACTTGGTTTTGGGTTGTCTTTCTCATGGTGTGTGACAACTGCCTCCTAGAAATTGTGGAACGGGTCACACCAACTACTCTGTTTCTCCCAGCATTCACTACCAAGAAGCACAAAGAAACTGCAGCTGATGAGCACTGTGACTGCCAGTGCTGTTACGAACAAGAGATGCGCATAGCATTAACAGGTAGATGGATTTTAATCTACAAGCATATCTGTCATTAATTTTAAGGGCTTTTGGAACCATGGCAGCTCAGCTAAGAGAGGGGAGATAAACCAAGCAACTACATGAAGCAGCTGTATTTGGTGAAGTACATCTCTTTGGATTAGCAGGGACTCACAAGGCTGGGTAGAGAATGGTGCATCCCACTGCCAAGTCTGATCCTTCAGGACAGTGACCCATTACATGGGAATGCCTGAGAAATTTTTTAAGACTGGAATATTCACTGGGATAAGCTTAAGAAAGTTTCCTTGGTTAGTCAGGATAGATTTTAATGCAACAATGCTTTCACCTGATTGTCGGCAGAACCATGTACTTTCTGCTTCTCTGGCTTGTGGCACTTCTCACTGTATGCACAGGTGAAAGAAAGTGGTGGTGAGCTTTGAGCGGCTGCAAACTTCCATGCTTTTGGGAAGACTTTGCAAGGGGAGGAAATAGGGATTTGAAAGCTGTGAGTCTGACTGGCTTGAATTGGGTAAAACAAACAGAGATCTGTGGCAGCATTTGTGAGGAGATGAAAAATTTCACCTGCACCTCAACAGACTCCCTGAGAGCAGTGCCTGCAGTGAGTCCCCAGAAAGTTCTTGCAGAGACTAATGGCCAGCTGCGAGGAAATGCTGCACTCCCTGAAGAATCAACAAGCTCTCTAGGTGTTTACCCAAGCTGGTAAACCAAACAGAAACCATCAGAATGCTTCATGGTGTGCCAGTATCTTCAACAACATACAGTTCTGGTTGCCACCTCTGGAAGGTAGTGGAGGGCTTGGGAATGTCCAGAGAAGACCATCAAAGATTGGTCTCAGGTCGTGTTGACTGGCTTCTCTTTTACATAGAGAAGAGTTGATGTATTACAGGAATTGCAGATGTTTTATACTGTCATGAATGGGGTGGAGAAGGGGAGTGGGGAGTGATTCTTCATGGTTCTGGTGTTAACTAAATTGATTCAAAGCAGGCAAAGAGGAGGTACTCCGTCAAGCAGCAGTTACCACGTGAAATTCATTGCCAAGGGTGTTATGGATAGCAGAAGTCTAAACAGATAGAAAAATTGATGAAGGACAGATAAGTTCTTACTAAAAATGATAGCCTGGATGCAACCTCTGGATCAGATCTTTAACAACTGCACAAGGGATAAGAAGGGAAAAGACTGCCTGTACACTGTTTTACCGCTTCTTTTTTTTTTACTGCTTCTTCTACCAGCCTCCTTCTTTAAATTGGCCCTATTCTGGCTACTCCTGAAGAACAGAGACCTAGACCTTTGCTCTTGTAATATGACTGGTTTTGTAGTTCAAAACTAGAAAGGAAATGCTCCACTGCAGTGCAGTGAACTAGTTTTGCCTTGCAGCCCACAAGTAATGTAAATGATATAATGATCATTCTCTCTGATTCTGAAGCACACTGAAATGAAGAGAATTAGAGCCAAATTCCTCCTAATACCTTAAAAATGTGTGTTATAAAATGTTTCCATAGCTGATTTTCTTCATTAAAAGTCTGTCTTCCGGACAGGCTCAGATTCCTGTTGAAGCTGAGAGTCACTACAATGTTTCTAGTTATTTTTCTCACTGTGTTTGGTGCTACACTTAGGCTGGATGCCTGAAAATGCACCTCATGGCCTGCCTTAGGCATTTTACCTTGAGTAGTAGGGACACCTTGGGCTGGATGCTGAGGATGGCTGCCCTCCACAGAAAGGGCTGTGG